CTTCATTTCCGGAATGCAATAGTCCCATTTCCATATAAGCTATGGGACTGACGGAAAGGTCTGTCACCGCCCCGTTCTGCATGCTGCAGCGAAGTGTACCTCAAAAGACTTTAAATTTCATTATTATTTTGAAAGTCATTACCGGAAGTGCTGTTTTTCCCCCCACCGCTTGGACTCGTGGTGTTTATCAGCGGTGAGAGAGCTCAACTCCATCCATGTTGCGGCGCCGCTGCGTGGCAGTGGAGGTACCGATCTGCTCCGCCGCTGGCTGCGCGACACATGAGTGAGTCCAACCCGTGAATGAACCCCCGGATCCGGGCGCATCGTGCTGCCGACAAACAGCCGTCAGTCCTCGGAGGCGTCAGCTCGGCTACCTGCCGCAGACAGAGCGACTTTACACCGCGTACAACACCCAGCGGGGGTCGCTACTGTAACCGGTGTCTGCGCTGCTTTGGGGCTGATTGTCGCTTTGATATCGGTCCTCCACAGAGAGTGAACTCGCTGGTTTTTAGTTGCTATTGGAAGCTCGTTTTTTATTTTTATTTTTTTTGTTATTATTTTAATTTATTTTGGACAGGGACGGAGCAACAGACAGAACCACGGATGTGATGCCAAAGCAGGGCAGAAACACAAAGGTTCAAGTCTAGAGAAGGTAAAAACCTGCCTTTTTCTACCTACAGCTTCTGTTTGCTCGATGTCAGCCCTGTGCTATTTGAGTGGAAAGTTAAAATGTATGAAATGTCAGCCTCAAACAGCTTACATCTTCCTGCAGCTCATAGATAAACCCAGTCCAGCCAGGCTAATCCAATAAACACCCCCCAGTAGTGTTTAATGAGATAGACTTAGCTGCTTCTTTTGAAGACAATAACCATTTTTTTCTGCAAACTGCAAATGTTTTCCTTTCAGCTCATTGSTGAATTTAATTTCACACAAATCTGGGTCTTTATAATCTGCCTTCAACAGACACTGTTCAAAGTAAGGGTGCCCACCCAGACAACAAGCTGTCCATAAAATGAAGAGATTTATATGGTGGAAGCTGTTCGTACTTGCTCTGTAGCTCCAGGCCAACATCTACCTATTATCAGACATCTGGTCCTTCTTTTGACAGAGACATATGTGGTAATGGTATGTTTCTGCAAAGGCGCTTAATCTGTGTAATCCCWGTTGTTTGAGAGGAAAACACTTATTTCCCCCCTTTGATTGTTCTTCTTAGAGACGGATTTTTAAGTAGATTTGGACGCCAAACGCACATTTGCAGCACCAGGACATTTGTTTATCATCCGCCTACGAAGGCAAAGTGGCCATAATGTCCTCACCCAATGTGTSTTTATTTGTKTGTAGTGTTAGCAAAATATCTCCAACTAAGTGGACACATTTGAATGAAACTCATAGTAGCCACTGGATTTACTTCTACAATTTATTTGMAATCTACCACATTCCAGGTGGCCATGAACTTATGAAACTACATGTTTTACAGCTGGTGAGATAAACTTTGGTGTAGCTTAGCATCGRCCCCAACACATACTTTGAGCTCTAACACACCTCAAGAAATGGTGGCGCTTAACACTATTTGTRGGACCAGAAATGGCTATAACACTGTCCCTTCTCAAACTCTGGCATTAAAGGCTGCGGGCGATATGCATTCCTTTAAGGATTGTTTTTAATTAAATTTTCTTCACTAATGTAGATCCTCAGACCGTATAGAAAGACCTCAGGATCTGAGGTTTTGTATGTTTCTGTACGGTTTCATTAAAGTTCTTGGTTGTCAGATGAAAGACATCCTCAAAGCGTTCTCCTCACACAGCACGACTCCTGCTTCTCTCCTGACYTACATCTGTGTGTAACTTTTCCACGATGAGATCACAAAGTTTTTTTTGTTGTTGTCCAGGCCTAAGCTTTTTTTTTGTCTTCTGATGCTAATCTCTCCCTGCTCAGTGACAGAGGCTTGTTTTCCACAGTTTGAGCCAACGCAGTCCCTGCTTTCTTGATTTCTTTCTTTCATGCTCGCCGARGGTCCAAAGGTCCAAACACAAAAAGGTTCTGGTGCAGAAAATGGGTGAAGGATTTCTTACAAATCCGAGCTGACACAAAACAGCCCTCAGTCTTTCACTGTACTGGATGAATAAAACATGACTCGTCACATTTTCAACTCCAAACCGACACACTGAACTCACCTTGTCGGTGTTGACTGGGTCAAGTGTAACTGTTATGGCTGATTACACGGCTCTGATAGACGCCACATTTTCACCCGACATGAAAAATCTGATTTTTCACCTCATTTGTTTATTTAAAAAAAGCTCTAAACTGAAACTTGCATGATTTACAGCAACTTCTTGTGATTTAATTAGTCWATGTTGATGTTTTTCCTATTGCCCACAGCCAAAACGCAAAGTTTGATGTTTCTGTGCCTGTCCAWTAGCAAAATATCTCATGAACCACTYGATTGATTTTAATAAAACCTTTAGGAAGTAATCTCTGACTGTAGCTCTACGAATGATTTACATTTTMAGCCAACCCAACTCAAAACAACCAACACAGCCAAGTCACCTTAGAAAACACACATTTGGATATAACTGCGATCTCCACTCATGACTAGGAATGTGCGATATGGCAAAAAATTCATATCACGATATACACTCACCGGCCACTTTATTAGGTACACCACGCTAGTTACGGGTTGGACCCCCTTTTGCCTTCAGAACTGCCTCAYTTCTTCGTGGCATAGATTCAACAAGGTGCTGGAAGCATTCCTCAGAGATTTTGGTCCATATTGACATGATGGCATCACACAGTTGCCGCAGATTTGTCGGCTGCACATCCATGATGCGAATCTCCCGTTCCACCACATCCCAAAGATGCTCTATTGGATTGAGATCTGGTGACTGTGGAGGCCATTTGAGTACAGTGAACTCATTGTCATGTTCAAGAAACCAGTCTGAGATGATTCCAGCTTTATGACATGGCGCATTATCCTGCTGAAAGTAGCCATCAGATGTTGGGTACATTGTGGTCATAAAGGGATGGACATGGTCAGCAACAATACTCAGGTAGGCTGTGGCGTTGCAACGATGCTCAATTGGTACCAAGGGGCCCAAAGAGTGCCAAGAAAAGATTCCCCACACCATGACACCACCACCACCAGCCTGAACCGTTGATACAAGGCAGGATGGATCCATGCTTTCATGTTGTTGACGCCAAATTCTGACCCTACCATCCGAATGTCGCAGCAGAAATCAAGACTCATCAGACTAGGCAACGTTTTTCCAATCTTCTCTTGTCCAATTTCGATGAGCTTGTGCAAATTGTAGCCTCAGTTTCCTGTTCTTAGCTGAAAGGAGTGGCACCCGGTGTGGTCTTCTGCTGCTGAAGCCCATCTGCCTCAAAGTTCGACGTACTGTGCATTCAGAGATGCTCTTCTGCCTACCTTCTTTGTAACGGGTGGTTATTTGAGTCACTGTTGCCTTTCTATCAGCTCGAACCAGTCTGCCCATTCTCCTCTGACCTCTGGCATCAACAAGGCATTTCCGCCCACAGGACTGCCGCTCACTGGATGTTTTTTCTTTTTCGGACCATTCTCTGTAAACCCTAGAGATGGTTGTGCGTGAAAATCCCAGTAGATCAGCAGTTTCTGAAATACTCAGACCAGCCCTTCTGGCACCAACAACCATGCCACGTTCAAAGGCACTCAAATCACCTTTCTTCCCCATACTGATGCTCGGTTTGAACTGCAGGAGATTGTCTTGACCATGTCTACATGCCTAAATGCACTGAGTTGCCGCCATGTGATTGGCTGATTAGAAATTAAGTGTTAACGAGCAGTTGGACAGGTGTACCTAATAAAGTGGCCGGTGAGTGTATATATACATATACTGTATATACATACATACAATAACTTTAATGTAACAGATATCTGCATCCATTGGATGTTGTGTTTGGTATCACCTGCTTCGTTTTAAGGTGGTAAAACAAATTGCTTGTATTTATTCCTTTCTACACAATTTGTAGATTATTTTTTCTGCACTCCATCTGTTTAATCTGCGCGCACTCCGGCGGGGTGACAATCATCCCATTTTTTTTTTTTTTTTTTGGAAAGACAGTCTGACTGTCAGCCTTTCCCACAGTGCTTCTCTGCTGTACAAGGAGACAGTATTGCGCTATGACCGCAGGAGAAACGAGGTCCAGACTCAGAGAGCGTTTCTGCGTCCCACCTAAGCACTGACTTCACCTGCACTGACTGTCGCCTCGCTGCGTCACTATGTGCCGCGGCGCGCGCTCCTCCCGCTGCAGGCAGTTTGGTCGTTCGGCATCCGACCGGAGGACGCGCCATCATGTAAACATGTAAACAGTGGTCCGGATAAGTTATGTTTTTTTTCCCCCCTCTTCATTTGCGCTCGCAGCCACGCTGCTTCCCGCTGCCTCTGTTTTGACTCCAGCCGGTTGGGTCATCAAAAAGAATTGCGCGGTTGGCCGGTAGACTATAGATCTCTATCATAGGACAAATTTATATAGTTTCTACCGTATATTGTTTATATCGCGCATTCCTACTCATGACATCACATATATCATTTTTATATACGTTCTCTGCCGCTCTCTCAAATAATCGTARAGTTGGAACGGATTCTAGAGAGATTCAATTGTAACATTGTAGCTAAGAAAACGTTCCTAGAGTGAATTTTGACACATCTGACTTTATGAAATCAAGGAAAGTTCAGTTGAAACGTTGGCTGGAGGGTCGAGGTCTTCCACAGACTTGGAAAGCGAGCAGAATTGTTTAAAAGGTTGATGTTTTTACCGATGTCTTATAGTTTAGATTGCAGTGTGTGTGTGTATTTTTATCACTCAAGCTTAATGGTGATGTTTAAAATTTGTGCAAGTAGTAGTAAGCCTGCATTTTAAATTGGGAAAAATGACAAAAAAATGCTCTCACCATGTGGCGATGATGGCTGTACCTTGAGTCACTGTTAAAAAAAATGTAGCATAATGTTTTGTAGTCCTCCCGATGGAGTTTGATGCTGTTTTCCCAAAATTTCTTAAGTTTAAACACCACTAAACTATGGTTGAAACCATTGAAGCCGCTGCCAGAGTTTGTACGCACACGGGTGTTGTGCAGATGTAGTCTGGTGACCAGTGTCCGTTTTGCAGGTATTGAGCTGAAAGCTTGATGTGAATGTAGCTGAGAATCGTCCACAACACGTACTCTGAGTGTCATCTTGATGAAATACAAGTTTCTCCCCTCCAGAAAGGGGAGAAACTGAAACTAAAATATCCATCTTATTACACTGATAATGTTCAATACCAACCATGGTATCGATATTATTGATCTTTGGATCGATCCGCTCACCTTTACCCTGTATAATTTAAAGATTTATTGGCATGTATGTGCTGACTCTTCCCAGGTCACAGTTAGTGATAAAGAGAGACTAGACCTTCTCCATTAAAGCTTCCAGTTATGGATTTTTCTGCTTACAGAACTCAGATAAATCAAATCTTTACCGGATTTTAAAATTAAACATTTGTGTTTAAAAGTCTTTAAAGTTTTACATTTGCTGTTGTAAAACAACCAACAGACACAACTCCCCTTATCCTTTTTTTTATAAAGCTAGTTGTAGCTTTAATATTAATTTGTAACTGGTGTAGTTTTTTTTTTTTTTG